CGAAAGCAAAAACACTTTATTTGGCCTTCCGAAAGTAGATGCATTTAGGAATCTTTAAGATTACTTACAACAGAACAGCAATGCATTTTATGGATGACCGTTTCGTGAACCTAGGAGAGGAGGTCATTCTGACTTTGCTATGACAATCTGGCGCTTCTGAATCAGCGACTGTAAGTATGTGTTGTTATTAGTTTAAGTATTTGCTATTGACTTCAAATGCGGAGTTTTGCGCATCGTGTGTGTGTGTGTGTGTGCGCGCGCGCGGGTGTGTGTGTGTGAGAGAGAGAGAGACAACGTCACATCACAGTGGAGTCAGCTGTCTTAACCGCGGCTTGTGTACTGCATCATTACTGTGTCTGTTCCCCTTTCGGGCTTGAAATGGGGGTAAAACTAATGACATTATTTACTGTCTTTACATTTAATTTGAAAGATGAAGCTCGCGATTATGGTAAGGGGTGTTAAATTTCCGACGAGTGCTTGCGTTGTTCGGCCAATCACAATGCACTGGGTCAGCTGGCCAATCAGAGCAGACTGCGCTTGTCGGAAGGAGGGACTTTGTAGAAAATGAAGCGTTTGAGAGAGGCGGGGCATAGAGGACCTACAATAATGTACAGTATTTGAAAAATAATGTGTTTTTTGAACATTAAAGCATGTCAACATATTCTGTTACACCAAATACACAAAATAATGATCTTTAAAAAAGCATCATATGACCCCTTTAAAAACTGAAAGCAGTTTTATATTTTCTGATCCTTTTCCTAAAGTCAACATCTTGACAACAAAGAAAAAGCAATTTTTTTTAAATGCATGCATGCTCTCTAACTGTTTGTTTCTGCTCTTCAGCTTTTACACCAGTGGACTTGAATGATGTGAAAAGGAAAAACACACAAGACTCCAAAAAGTCTTCATGAAACATTTGGATTTATCCAGCATAAAGACTAATACAGCATAGATCTCATGCCTGGTGCACTGATGTTATTCAGGCCTTTATTTGCCGATCCCTGATCTTTTTTTAAATTATCAGTGTTGTTCACTGATAACTTTGTCCTGTGTTTAAGGACACAATGCTGCTTAAAAATGTTTTTAGAATTTCCCTTGATTTTCATATAGTGTGCTGCAGTGATGATGTGTTTTTGTAGGCGACAAATGCCTGGATTTATTCATTGGCTTTTGAATTATTGCAGAAAACAAGCTTTGTGACCAAGAGATTAGGGTATTACTGATGCATTTTATGTTGTAGAAAAAAGCTTGTTCCTGTGTTACCTTATTTCAGGCATTAGCCAAAAACCCATTCAGGATAATGGGAATCAGAAATGCTAACTCGTTTCTGGGATTTGGCCTAAAATATGTCATCCCTAAAGCACTCTATATAAGCTAATGTAAAAAAGCATACATGTCAAAAAGTCTTTTTGATAAATTATTTTGTTGGTTTGACTTTAAAATCATATATTTAACCCTTGTATTATGTTCTGGGTCAATTTGACCCATTTGGAAATACCAGTTAACCTGTGATTTTATTCTTGATATTTTGTGACTTTTTCTCATTTAGGGCCTGAACATGCATGCAAAGTGAGGATACACTGATGTGTTTTGAAGTGCACACACATAAATTTGTTACGATTTTGATGTTCGCGAGTCAATTTGACCCACATTATTATTATTTTTTTTGTTTTAAAGCAACTGTACAGACCCAAGTTAAATATATTTCTTGGGTATACACTCTTAAAAATAAAGGTGCTTCACGATGCCATAGAAGAACCTTTTTGTCTAAATGGTTCCATAAAGAACCTTTAACATCTGAAGAACCTTTCTGTTTCACAAAAGGTTCTTTGTGGTGAAAAAAGGTTCTTCAGATTACAAAAAGGTAAGAAAGAGATGGTTCTTTAAAGAACCTTTGACTGAATGGTTCTTTGTGGAACCAAAAATGGTTCTTCTATGGCATCGCTTGAAGAACCTTTTGAAGCACCTTTATTTTTAAGTGTTATGTTGGTGTTTTACTATCCTGGAAAGGGAAGAAATTAGCTTTTTCTCATTATTTTCAGTACTGAATAAGACTTTCTCAGACTCGTATGATAAAAGTGAGCTGTCATTTCTATTTTTAATGTATATTAAATACTATTTAACTTATCTTTTTCTTCCAGAAATTGTGTAACTTTTTCTCATTTAGGGCCATGAACATGTCTAAACAAGTTGTGCTCCAAATTTGAAGTTGATATAAAAAAAAAAAAAATTGAGGTTCCTATACTAAAACTAGCCACCGGGTGCCATTCAAACTCCATTGAATTTTTTTAATGCATTTTTACGGTCACAAATGTATACATTTCTCTCTCAATATTACTTCTATCACAAAATAAACACCAAATATGGAATCTTGAGACTCATATGACTCAAATATGGACTCTTGTGATTGAGGGTAGCATTTATGAAAATGTGCTATATATTTAAATGTATGCTTTTAAAACATTTTAATCATTTTGTTCTTTTAGTTTATCTAGGCTTACAATTTGAATTTGCCATTTTTATAATTTGCAAACACGGAAAGACCTAAATTACTCAATTTGGTACTTTTATTTATTTTTTTATATAAATGGTGGTTGTGGGGCAATTTGAGTCAATGGTTCAACTGTTCTGCAACCTCTGGTATATAAGATTCTCTAGTATATACAATATTATTTTCATGTAGCACCTTTCCTCCCAATAATGGATATATTGTTTCTGAAAACATTGTTTCATTGAAAACATATGCACATATAAACATATGTTTATAAAAAATAATATTTCTCTATTTTAATTATATTTTTAATTTTTTTGCCTGGTTCCTTTAACAAGCATTGAAACTCACTGTCCACAAATTTGCATGATTGCTTTTGGTTTTACTAATGTAAAAATGGTTCACAAATATTAAAACACACTAAATAACATCTATTTGGTTTACAGATGTCTGCAAGAAAGGTACAGCACAAAGATGTGGAGATCAATGCATTATTGAATTATCACTGTGTATAACATTAATGTTTTCACTTGGAAATAGTTAACTTGTTCAAGTTGCCCATTCTGGGCAAGGATGTGCCAATGCTACTTTTTTGAAAGACATATTTCATTATATATAAGCTTTATTTCAGTTTCTCTAATTGTTCAATATTGCTTTTGCTGCATTAGTTTATCTCAATACCTGTACCAGTTGTACAACTGGTAACCAATTCATCTTACTCCACTCTTTCCAACCATTGCATAAACCACATAATAAATGGTTTACTCATATATCATATGGTTTATGCAACTTAATATAATATAGTTGGTAGTTTATTAATATCTGCGCTATATCCGAATTTAAGTTTATATATATAATGATTTAGTATATAATTAGTAATAAGATCCACTGTGGTGCCTTTGTTATTAATTATTTTATTACTACCAGGAATGATTTTAATCAAGAATTACCATATGGCTTACAGACAATCAGGGCAAATAAACTAATTATCAATAATTGTGGACTAATATGCAGGTTACATTTTAAAGTTAACTCCATCACAAATCTGTTAGCAAAGAATGGTTGACTATTTATTATCCCAAAATAAAGTAAAAGAGTGTTGATTCAATTTGAAAATATTTCAAATTGTGGGAATTTCATGTCAAGTTATTTAAGATATGCACAAATGCATACCATTGTAAGTGTTCTGTGACATTCTGTACTGTGTTCATAATTTAAAATGACTGTTGGACTGCAAAATGCAGTTACTTTATCAGTGATAGCAGCCTCTTTGTACAAAACCATACCATGTGTTTTTTAAAATATTTTCATTTTGTGGGATATTTAATCAAAATTCTAAATTTGTAGGATGTAAAATATACCATTGTACAATAAACAAACAAAAGAATCGATCTGAGTGTGCAATTATTTAATCTCCTCAGGAAGTGTCTCCCCTGAATAAAAAAAAGAACATTCATTACTATGATAGAAGTAGTCCAAAAATAATAAAAAAAAAACATATATACAGAGTTCACAGTGAAAATCCAGGTGTTGTGCTGTTGCCTGACAGGCGAGCTCACTCTTTAAATTTCCACTCCTGACGGCACATTGGGCACTGCTGCTGCACTTGCTGAGAGTTCAGCCACTTCAGGATGCAGTGCATGTGGAAACAGTGAGAGCACTGACCCCAAACCAACGGACAATCATCTCCTGGGACCTTACCTGTTAAAACCAGAGAGTACATTTCATTTTGTAATTCTGATTACATTTTCTTCAACTACATAAGTAGAACTTAAAAAGCAACAGAACTTCGTAACAAAACTGCACAAAGAGGCACAGGAGGCAGTGTAGATCAAGTGAAATCAGGTAACCCACAGTCTGGGCAACAGCCATTGAAAGGCGCTCTGCAGATGCCGCAGTTCTCATCGTTGGCCACCCACATCCACGACGCCACACCATTCCACTGCTTTATTTTAACCTTCATCTCTTCTGGGAATTCACAAAACAGAAGAGACTGCACTCACAAACAGTAATTTTATATAGGGTCCAGTGAATCTCAACCTTTTGGCGTACCGGACCCCAGTCCAATTCAGAACTATCCTCAAGGACCCCCAGAACAAAATGGACTCATCTATGTATCATTTGTGTCTTTGTGAGGACCAAATACAGTCAAGTATAATTCAAGTTAGCTGGCTTATAGCTGACAGTATTTGGCCATATCATCAGCTATATTGGATTTTTCTTTCATGGGAACATATGTCAAAATATACAAAATTTATACAAAAATTCATACTTTATACAGACCCCCTGGCCTTACGTCAAGGACCACTAGGGGTTCACGAACCCCTGGTTAAGAAGAACTGCCTCATACCATGGTACTGAATGAATATCATGTTCATGGTAGCCTGATATTTACATGATACTTTGCAAAGTAATTCAAAAATACTGTGGTACATGTCATGAAACTGCTTTTCATGATCATACTACTACTACACAAAATTGTACTATTATGGTATTCTTTCTTTTAGGCATTTTTTGTTAGAATGGAATGACATAGCCACCCATGTCAACTCAGCTATGAGTAAAACACTTTCCTGTTAACACGAACGTAATACAAATCTCAACACGTGACAAGAGAGTAAATAATCAAACTGGTTTAAAAATACTGACCCACAGAAGTGTACTCATTCATCAAGCTCACTATGTTATTGTCCTAACATCCATTCTAGCCATGGCTCTGATTCTAGCGCACTTCTTGTTCTTCTTCTTGAGCGTTTTTGGCGGATGGCATAGGTGCTTTACTGTCACCTGCTGGACTGGAGTGTGGAACAAAGTTTTTCCAGTTTGGCAGGGAAAAAAGTACTAAAATAAAACCTGTAACCTTTATATTCGTTCTAACAAATGATATGATATACTGTCATTTTGTTACATCTGTTTGTATTTAAAAAAAATCGTTCTAACAGACACTGCCACCTAATATGTGGCCTTAAAGAGTCTTTTGTCTTTAAAGAAGGTAAACGAACACGATAACAAGGAAGTGACAATGAAGATAAAAATAATTTTAGGACCTCTGCTATGTTTTATATGTTGTTGCTTGAGTCCCCCCCCCCCCCAACTTGATTTTTTTTTTTTTTAAATAAAGCGATACCGGACGTGTGGAATACTGCATTGCATTTGAACTCTTTCTGTTGATTCTTCTATGTAATCTTGGTACAAGTATTTTGGTAACACTTTCACATAAGGTCCCATGAGGTAATGTTAATTAATGCATTAACTAACAATGAAAAATACATTTGCTTGATCCCCCCCCCCCCCAGATTGATTGTCTTTTTTATAAAGAGTAGCGAATCCGGAAGTGTGGCGTCTCCTAGCAACAGAGATGAGAAAGAAACACTGCAGGTCTCGCGCTGCTAAATTGTGATACCAGAAATTATTGGAAATTTAACAGTAATTTTTTAGATCTTTGAAAAAATATATTTATTATAAATATTGACAAATAAGATTTGTTACTCTCTGCTACTCAGGACCAGGATACAAAAGAAACAGGTGATAATTTAAAATGATCTAACATACAATTAACAGTTACTCCGGTTAATGTCTTATATATGTGTGTCTGTGTTGAATTACGGTACTTTATTTTTGATTATGAAGAGATGGAATGTGGTGGGTGTGATGAAGGTCTGCTTCAACACTTAATGAAAAGATTCCAGTCTGCACTGAAAAACAACCTCAGAAATCAGCTAGAGATTGAACCTTGAGCTCCGTGAGAAGGTAATAGAAAAAAATTTACTTCTTCATATTTTTCCTCTGAAAATGTTTGATATGATCCATCTTTGTGTAACGACACGTGCACACTGGGCAGAAATTTCTTCTGTACTTCGGGAAATATATGCACACACACTTACATACAAACAAGGGCTACAGAAACTGATCGTTACTGCTCTGCTGCAGATAGTAGTGGAAAAGGCAGAGGCTCAGGAACGTCATGAACTTGCTGAAGAAGTATACATGGTGCATGAGATGTTGGCCAGAATCCAGGCGTCTCTGGAGGCAAGTCATGAGGCTAATGCCCAGGCTGCTGCTCAGCATAGACAGGCCCAAGACCAGCTGGATGGCGTAAAAAATCAGTACCAAGATGCTACCAGTCAGGCTAACAAACAGCATATGCAAGGTGAGAAGAACCAGTGTTATTTTGTATATTTATATACGAGTATTTTTTTTTTGTTCATATTTTTAGTTAGCTTTTATTTTTTATATATATTTTTAAAATTTGATTTATTCAATTTTTTTGTAGTTTTGTTTTTGTGATTTTTGTAATTTATTATTATTATTATTATTAATAGTACTTTATTTTTTAAATATTACTATTTAGGTTTGTTTGTTTTATTTTATTTCAGTTTTAGTTTTAGTTCGGTTTCCGTTTTTATTTCCAGTTAGTAATTTTAGTGCTTCAACTTTTTTTTTATTGCCTAGGCAACATTTCTAATTTCAATTTAGTTTTGTTTTTCTTCTAATATTTTTATTTCAGCTTTATTTCAATTAACAAAAATATTTTGAACAAGAATGCAATTACAGTAGAGAACATTTTGCACTAACCAACAGCACATTTTTAAGATGGTTATTTATATTTATATTATTCTTATTGTTCATTAGTTATGATTTTTCAAAGAAACTGACCAATAAACATAATATGCTCAATACTTCTTTCATAAGCAAGTTGATTTACCCCAAAAACATTGTGACTCTTTGGCATTGTAAAACCCTGTTATTCAGATATCATCCCAACCAGTGCAACATAGTAACCAATAGCTTCAGTTTGTGAGGGGGCTACCTGTTGAACAATAGCAGATAGGATAAAAAGGATTTAGAAATAATTATTTTACAATTTTAGTGGTGCAGACTTCATCTTCAGACAATTAACACTCAACAATCTCAGTTAGTCTTGTTATAATTTGTGCTCTCTTTATAGTTTCTGAATTACAGTCTAAAGTGGACAACCTGGCCCTGAAGTTGCTCTACATGCAGGAGGCCAATACTGACCTGTGCTCAGACATCAAAGCCATAATAAATGCTTCACACAAAGCCCAGAAAGCCAGAACTCAGGCAGAGGAGAATAAACACCAGCAGGTGGAGTTCTAGAGTGCATGATTGTGCTTAAATGTGGCCATGTCATGTGGTTTGCTATTTTAGTATATATTAGCATGCTTATATAATGATTTTAACCAGATCTCTCTCTTTCTCTCTGTCAGGATCTTTTTGTTGAGCGTTTGATCAAGCATGTGGAAAAGCTCTCAGAGCAGATATCTCTGTATGAAGTTCAGATCATCCCTCAGACTGAGCAGACAAAGGCTGCAAAGGAAGCTCTTTCTGAGGTTAGACACCTCTGCAATAGATCAAGTGAAGCATACACATTCAAAGTGATGTATTTTTAAGTTATGAAACACATATGACTTGAAACATCACATTTTGGTTATGTTCAAATGTAAATATTATTAAGAGCAAAAGTACTGATTTACTGACATCTTGAGATAATTTTAATACTGGTCCATAATTAGTTACTTTTGTACCATTGGTTCTGGCATTAAATGGACCCTGATAAGATTTCTTCACAGAAGTCATGAGATTCATCAGTAATACAATTCTTAGAAATTAAGTGTTTTTTCACCCTAGATAAAGTATAGATGAGGATAAAGTATAATTTAATAAAGAAGTTTACACTACCACTCAAAAGTTGGGTTTTTTGTTGTTGAAAGAAGTCTCTTATGCTCTTATGCGGTTTATTTGATCAAAAATACCAGTAAAAACAGTAATATTGGGAAATATTACTACAGTTTAAAATAAGTGTTCCATTTTTAAATATTTTATGTAATTTATTCCTGTACTGGCACAGCAGAATTTTCAGCAGCTATTACTCCATTCTTCAGCGTAACATTCTAATATGCTGATCTGGTGCTCCAGAATGTTTTTTTTATTATTATTATAAATGTTCAAAATATATTTCAGGATTTATTTCAGAATTCTTTGTGGAATAGAAAGTTATGTTTTGTAACAATAACAACATATATTTCTTTACTGGCAGTTTGGATCAGTTTAATTAATCCTTGCTGAATAAAAGTATTAACAAAAAAACAAAAAAAGCTTACAGGAACTTACGGATCCACACTTTTGAACTGTAGTGTATTTGTATTGAGTACAATTTGGTAACATTTTAAACACAATTGTTTGTCTGTCTGTAAGGCCTATAACCTTTAATGTTAACACTTATTTAACCCTCTATGGTACGGAATATGATATCAAAGAGGAAAAAAATATTTGTGATGTTTTTCCTACTTAAAATTGGACACTATAACAATAAAATTTATTATTTTTGTAATTAATTTTTTAAAGTTTGTTGCCTCAAGGCAACACTGTACCACAATGGACAAATTTAAACATTTGACATTTTCATGCAGAAAAAATAAAAATATTTATTGAAAACATCAATTTCTTTAACCAAACACTTGAACAAACAGATTTATCTAGATTTTAATGTATTGCACATCTCATATTTGATAAAAAATAACATTTCAAATCCAGCTGTTGCTCTCAGGCAACACTGTACCATCGTGGATCACAAGTATAACTAAACTATCATATCTGTTGTCATACCAAAACATTATAATCAGTTGTTTCAAAGTAAAAAATGAAAAATAATCATAACCTTATCCTAATATGCACTTTATCCTTACAAGCATGCACATGCACACACAAGCACATGCATGCAAAATCTCCTACTTCACTAATGACACCTCACTGCTTGTGAAAACTGAGGAAGCAATTCTTCTCAACAGACAAATCATAATATGTGCAGATATAGTATGAGAATTACTATTCTTGAAAATTCATTACAAAATCATGCAAAAATTCTAATGCATTTAGATCATTCTAACTCTTTTCCTTATAAATATCATATACTTGTACTTTAACCTAGTATGCCTGCATGGCCTTATGCGATTCCATTGCGTTACAATGCTGCCTTGAGGCAACATGCAGTTTTTTGTAATTTCTTATGATACATTTGATGAAATATTATGTAAAGTTTTTTAAACTACTTCTTTACTTTCCAATGAAGGTGACCTAAGATTTTTTGTAGGCAATTATATGCACGGAAATTGATGAAAAATGCATTTTTCATTGGACAAAATATGGAGTCATGTGACATGTGCACATGTCCTAAAAGTGGAACCAAAATGGACCCCTGTGGATCATGTGACCACTTTTTTTGTATGTTCATTTATTAGTATTTTACTTCTACTTCCCTGAGACAGCATTGGTCAATTAAATGAGTCTCTAAAATAAACTAAAATATGTTGTGTTGCCAGAAGGCAACACGGTACCATAGAGGGTTAAGTGCTTATTTAATGTATCACTTAAATTTAACAAATGATGGAAATGGAAGTTCCTTTTACCATTTTAAATTACAGTTAGTTATATTAATTGTTTTAAATTTCAGTTGATCTTAATTGTACTTCCTTTTTATTCAGAATCAGTTCTGCATCATTTTTACTACCTCCATTCAAATTCATTTCTGATTCAGAACTGAACTGGAATTTTAAAAGCCTTCTCAATTAAATTCGTAATGGTGTACAACCCTGCCAAGCGTATACTACAAAAAATAACCTTTGTATCCTAAGCTTTTTATTCAGGGTATATATCCTATCAGTCCTCTTACAAAGCAAAGAGGTCAGATTCATTGAAATGTGTATTTTACAAGCTAAACGAATAATTGCTCTTAATTGGAA